TTCAAACATCGAAAAATTGAAAATAAATTGCAAAAACCAAAACAGAAAATTCCCAAAACTGGGACATCGAAGAATTGAAAAATCGAAAAATTTAAAAGCCGGAGAATTGAACAATCGAAAATTAAAAATCAAAAAACGAAAAATCGAATCTAAAATTTAAGAAATTAAACAATTAAAATATCAAAAAATTCTATTTTCTGCATCTTTACGTTTTTTAAATTTGTGGAAATGTAAATGTTTGGAAATAAGGCGAATATTTTTTGAAAACTAAGAAAGTACTATAATAGGGTTCAACAGGTGAACGGCTAATTTCATGTTTTCCCGACGTTTCATGAAAAAAAAATCGAAATAGCCCATAAACGAAAAATTTAAATTTAAATTAAAAAAAAAATCGAAAAATTGATAAAACTGAAAAATCGAAAAATTGAGGAACCGAAAAATATCAGATTTAAAAACGAAAAATTGAATAATCGAAAAACTGACAAATCAAAATTGATAAATCGATGTTACGAAAAATCTAAAATAAAAAATTAAAAACCTGAAAAATGTAAAAATCGAATAATCGAAAAGTCCAGAAATTGAAGTCCCAAAACTGAAGTGTAGAAAAATTGAGAATTTTAACAATAGAAACATCTAAATCAAAGCATCAAAATATCGAGAAAAATTAAAAAAATCGAATAACCTAAAAATCGAGAAATCGAAACAGCCCAAAATCGAAAAATTAAAATTTGAAAAATTTAAATTACAAAGAATCAAAAAATTGAAAAGTTGAAAAATTTAAAAACCGAAGAATTGAACAATCGAAAAGTATAAAATCAAAAAACGAGAAATCGAAGAATCTAAAATTAAGAAATCAAACAACTGAAAAATCTGAAAACGATAAATCGAGAAATCTAAAATTTAAGAAATCAAAAAATTAAAATATCAAAAAATTCAAGAATCAAAAATTGAAAAATCCCAAAAATTGTTCAATCAATAAATGGAAAAATAAAAAATCGAAGAAAAATTGCAAAAAGTAAAACAGAAGATTCCCAAAACTGAAGCATCGAAAACTGGGATATCGAAGAATTGAAAAATCTAGAAATCGAAAAGTCGAAAAATTTAGTAAAATTGAAAAATCAAAAACTTGAAAAATTTAAAAATCGAATAATTGAAAAGTCCCAAAACTCAAATTTAGAAAAATTGAGAATTTTAACAATTGAAAATTTTGAAACATTGAAAAATCGAAACATCGAGCAATTGGAAAATTGAAACATCTATAAATCAAAGCATCAAAATATCGAGAAATCGATATGTCGAAAAATTGTGAAAAACGAATAATATACAAATCGAAATAGCCCAAAATCGAAAAATTTACATTAAAAAAAAAATCCAAAAATTGGTAAAACTGAAAAATCGAAAAATTGAAGAATCGAAAAACATAAAATTTAAAAACGAAAAATTGAAAAATCGAAAAACAAAAAATCCAAAAATTGGTAAAACTGAAAAATCGAAAAATTGAAGAATCGAAAAACATAAAATTTAAAAACGAAACATTCAAAAATCGAAAAACTGAAAAATCAAAAAACGATAATTCGAGAAATCGAAAAACCTAAAATTTAAGAAATCAAAAAATTAAATATCAAAAATTGAAAAATCCCAAAATTCAAACATCGAAAAATCGATCAATCGAGAAATGGAAAAATAGAAAAATCGAAGAAAAAATGCAAAGACCAAAACAGAAAATTCCCAAAACTAAGGTATCGAAAACTGAGATATCGAAGAATTGAAAAATCGAGAAATCGTAAAGTCGAAAAATCTAGTAAAATTGAAAAATCACAAACCTGGAAAATTTAAAAATCCAATAATTGAAAAACTGAGAAATTGAAAAATCCCAAAACTAAAATTTTGAAACATTGAAAAATCGAAACATCGAGCAATTGGAAAATTGAAACATCTATAAATCAAAGCTTCAAAATATCGAGAAATCGATATGTCGAAAAATTGTGAAAAACGAATAATCTATAAATCGAAATAGCCCAAAATCGAAAAATTTAAATTTAAATAAAAAAAAATCCAAAAATTGATAAAACTGAAAAATCAAAAAATTGAACAAACGAAAAATATAACATTTAAAAATGAAAATTCGAAAAATTGGAAAATGAATAAACTAAAGATCGAAATAGCCCAAAAACGAAAAATTTACATTAAAGAAAATCCAAAAACTGGTAAAGCTGAAAAATCGAAAAATTGAAGAATCGAAAAACAAAATTTAAAAACGAAAAAATGAAAAATCCAGAAACAAAAAATCCAAAAATTGCTAAAACTCGAAAATCGAAAAATTGAAGAATCGAAAAACATAAAATTTAAAAACGAAACATTCAAAAATCGAAAAATTGAAAAATCAAAAAACGATAAATCGAGAAATCGAAAAACCTAAAATTTAAGAAATCAAAAAATTTAAATATCAATTGAGACATAGAACAATAGAAAAATCGAAGAAAAATTGCAACAACCAAAACAGAAAATTCCCAAAACTGATGTCGAAGAATTGAAAAATCGAGAAATCGAAAAGTCCAGTAAAATTGAAAAATCAAAAACCTGAAAAATTAAAAAATCGAATAACTGAGAAATTGAAAAGTCCTAAAACTGAAATGTGGAAAAACTAAGAAATCCAACAATTGAATCGAAACATGGAGCATTTGGGAAAATTTAAACATCGATAAATTAGAACATCAAAAGATCGAGAAATCGAAAAGTCGAAAAATTGAAAAATGAATAATCTAAAGATCGAAATAGCTGGAAAAATTTAAATTTAAATACAAAAAAAAATTCAAAAATTGATAAAACTGAAAAATCAAAAAAATTGAAGAATCGAAAAATTTTAAATTTAAAAATGAAAAGTCGAAAAATTGGAAAATGAACAATCTAAAAATCGAAACAGCCCAAAAACGAAAAATTTAAATTAAAAAAAATCAAAAAATTGATAAAACTGAAAAATCGAAAAATTGAGGAACCGAAAAATATCAGATTTAAAAACGAAAAATTGAATAATCGAAAAACTGACAAATCAAAAAACGATAAATCGATATTACGAAAAATCTAAAATAAAAAATTAAAAACCTGAGAAATGTAAAAATCGAAAACTGAGATATCGAAGAATTGAAAAATCGAGAAATCGTAAAGTCGAAAAATCTAGTAAAATTGAAAAATTTTGAAAATTTAATAATCGAATAATTGAAAAACTGAGAAATTGAAAAATCCCAACACTAAAATGTAGAAAAATTATGAAATCCAACAATTGACAAGTTGAAACATTGAAAAATCGAAACATCGAGCAATTAGAAAATTGAAATATTTATAAAAAGTCGAAAAATTGTGAAAAACGGATAATCTAAAAATCGAAATAGCCCAAAATCGAAAAATTTCTATCTATCCAAAAATTGATAAAACTGAAAAATGGAAAAATTGAAGAATCGAAAAATATGCAATTTAAAAATGAAAAACTGAAAAATTGAGAAATCGAAAAATCTAAAATTGAAGAAATCAAAAAATTCTAGAATCAAAAAATTGAAAATTTCCAAAATTCAAACATCGAAAAATTGATCAATGGATAAATTGAAAAATAGAAAAATTGAAGAAATATTGCAAAAACCAAAACAGAAAATTCCCAAAACTGAGACATCGAAGAATTGAAAAATCGAAAAATTTAAAGGCCGTAGAATTGAACAAACGAAAATTAAAAATCAAAAAACGAGAAATCGAATCTTTTTTTTTAAATTTGTGGAAATGTAAATGTTTGGAAATAAGGCAAATATTTTTCGAAAACTAAGAAAGTACTGTATTAGGGTTCAACAGGTGAACGGCTAATTTCATGTTTCCGCGACGTTTCATGAAAAATTTAATTTAATTTATTATCCGCTAGATTATAAAAAAATGGGTTTTTTGTTTTCGAATGTGTATCTGTCTGTCTTTCATCTGTCGTCTGCCTGTCATCTGTTGATCTGTCGTCTGTCTGTCGGTATGTCGTCTGTCTGTCTGTCTGTCTGTCTGTCTGTCTGTCTGTCTGTCTGTCTGTCTGTCTGTCTGTGTCTCTTTTTTATTAGGCCAGACAGATAACGTTCGAAATTACTGATTGTTGTGATTTTTTTTTAAACTATAGCTAAAAGTTTTCACTGAAACTTTGATGACGGCGTTACAAAATTTTGCTCATTTAAATTTTGTAAAATAATATATTACTGCACTTACGGTTTATCAATCCGTGTTTATTAAGTTTATTAAAAATTTGAATGAATTTAATTTCCTCTATACCGTGAAAAAATATGTTTTCCGTATCCGTTTGTATGTCTGTATATCTGACTCTCTATCTGTCTGTGTCTCCTCTAGCTGTGGTTCATGAATCTGCCTTGAGTTTTTTACTCTAGATATCCAGATTTTCCCAAAAAATTTAAAAATTGTATAATCACGTTTTATAGTAACGTAATTCATTCACTTTTTTCCTAATTTAGAAAAAATCCTCTCTTCCTGACCTGACCTGATTACCTAAATGCGGGTGCCGAATGAAAATAGTTCCCTTCGCTCCCCGACAAGATAAATTTTAAACTGATGGCCAAACCTTGTTTTTAGGTCAAAATTTGGACTGACCTTTACGCTAACTTTCAAGTAGCATTTAATTACCAGTAGTTTGAAGTGAGCGAAAAAAATCCAACTCGTGCCAATACAAACCAGGTCCCCAAAATAATTATTCCACTCAGCTGTTAGTCATTTAATCAAATCACTTTCCGTACAAGCTGAAAATTTTAGAAAGCACACTAGCAATACCTTAAACCTTATCACCTTCCACACTCACACCATGTAGCATTTAAATGAAGAGTGAATCACCGCTCTCCTCGCTTAAAGATGTCAACACGCACTTCCACCTACAGCCGACCCCAGCAATCACTCGAAAACAAAATAGCGTTATCAACGTCCGAGTCAATATTTGCCCAAAAATTATAATCGCTTGTCCTCTCTCTCTCCAGTGTCGTCCGGCTGCAGAACGAACTCAACAACTTCAGCCTCCAGAAGAGCGTGAGCGAGCCCACGATGGTCGCCGCCACCATGCCCCCGGCGGTGCAGGACAGCTCGCCCGACACCCCCCAGCCCGCCTACGACCTCAACAAGGGCTGGATCACGGGGATATTCGGCTGCCTCAGGCCCGTGCTATCGATAATCGGAAAAGGAGCAGTCAACGAGATAAAAAACAGCCATCAAGGTGAGCTTACATAAGTCATTTTTAATAATAGCGAATTGAAAACAAGGCTCACGAGTCGGGTCGAGAGCGGTTTTGTAATTATTGTGAGAAAGTGGCTATTTAATTTATAAATGAGAAAAATGAAGCGAGAAGTAAGTGGAAGCAATTACACGCGGGCAGGCGATAATTCGTGTTTGTTTAGAAATCGAATTTAGGATTGATTATTTGGAGAGCAGTGAGTTTCGGTTCTTTGTGACTTTATTTTGCTTGTTTTTAACCGCGGCGAGACGAAATTTCGAAGATCGTAGATGTTTTTTTGGAGGTTTTTTACGGATATCACTAGAGTTTCTATTTATTTTAAATAATGTGTTTAGGATGTTGTGAATATTCAAGGTTTTCAACTGTCCTCACATATATTATAGGGTTTTTATGATTGCGGAAATTTTTTGAATATTGCTCAAAATCTTTTCTGAAGTATTTAAAGCCAGTTATGATAATTAAAAGAAGACAGTTTGAGTTATATCGTCTTATTTAAATTCGTCGAAGAAAAACGAATTTTGCTTCAAATGGTGCGTGACATCACAAATAATTATTCTCATGATCATTGTTGCTAATTTTAAACATTACTATGAAGAAACTGCCATGAACTAAATTTCAATCACATTTTATTAAAATCCCTTCTCTTGTTACATTTTTGACTTTTTCGTTTGAATATTCACGATTTTCTATAACAAGAAATATTTACTTTTTAAAAATTAAAAAAAAATCGCCAAAGGGTGAATTAAGTTCCCAATTTATTGCAATGACAAATAGAATTGTTGGTTTTAGAATATTTAATATATTTTTTTTAATATTAATTTCTTTTTTTGGGGCTGTCTATTCTCGAAATACTATTTTTTCGTAAATAGTATTTCGAGATTTTTTGAAAATTTTCAGATCGGAAAAGGGAAACTTCAAATTTTCGACGAATACATTTTGGAAATTAAAAATTTTTGAGATTCTATACTTTTATCATTTTAAAATTTTCGATGATGGTGATTCAGAACAGTGTATTTATTGACGTAAAAAGTAGCCAAAATGCTTACGAAATAATTTAAAGTTTCCCTTATGAAAATTATTAAAACTAAAAATATAAGTGGGAAAACGGATCGAACTCCAAAAACATCCGAAAAAGAAAACAATGTTTTGATCTGAATGGCTTAAAGTGAAAAGTGAATTAAGTCCCCAATTTATAGCAGTGTCATATTTTTCAAAAAATATTATTTGGATTTATTTTTCGAGATTTTTTGAAAATTTTCAGATTGTAAAAGAACGGATTTATTTTAGATAGAGGTATAATATATTTTGTATATTTTAAATGTTTGAGTGGTCACTTAAAATTATCACAGATTTCTAGTATTTCTTAATTGAAATTTTCAAAAAATTCAACAGAAACTTCAAATTTTTGACGAATACATTTTGGAAATTAAAAATTTTTGAGATTCTTATTTTATCATTTTAAAATTTTCGGTGATGGTGATTCAGAACAGTTTATATATTGACGTAAAAAGTGGCCAAAATGCTTACGAAATAATTTTAATTTAAAGTTTGCCTTATGAGAATTGTTAAAAGTAAAAATATGAGTGGGAAAACGGAGCGAACTCTAAAAACATCCGAAAAAGAAAACAATGTTATGATCTGAATGGCTTAAAGTGAAAAGTGAATTAAGTCCCCAATTTATTGCAGTGTCATATTTTTCAAAAAATATTATTTGGATTTATATTTGGAGATTTTTTGAAATTTTTCAGATTTTAAACAAACGGATTTTTTTTAGATACAGATATAATATATTTTTTTTATTTTAGTTGTTTGAGTGATCTCCTAAAATTATCGTAGATTTCTAATATTTATTAATTGAAATTTTCAAAAAATGCAACAGAAACTTCAAATTTTTGACGAATACATTTTGGAAATTAAACATTTTTGAAGTTCTAAATTTTAACATTCTAAAATTTTCGGGGACAATGATTCGGAACAGTTCATTTATTGACGTAAAAAGTGTCCAAAATGCTTACGAAATAGTTTAAAGTTTGCTTTATGAAAATTATTAAACGTAAAAATATGAGTGGGAAAACCGATTGAAATCCAAAAACATCTGAAAAAGAAAACAATGTTTTAATTTGGATGGCATAAAGTGAAAGATGAATTAAGTCGCGAATTTATTTCAGTGATATATTTTTCCAAAAATATTATTTGAATTTGTATTTTGAGATTTTTTTTGAAATATTTCAGATCGTAAAAGAGAACGGAATTTTTTTAGATATAAGTATATATTTTTATTTTAGATGTTTGAGTGGTCACCTAAAATTACCGCAGATTTTTAGTAAAATTTTTGAAGTTCTAAATTTTAACATTTTAAAATTTTCGGTAATGGTGATTGAAAACAGTTTATTTATTGATGTAAAAAAATATCCAAAATGCTTAGGAAATAGTTTAAAGTTTGCTTTATGAAAATTAGTAAACGTAAAAATATGAGGGGGAAAACCGATCAAACTCCAAAATAATCCAAGAAGGAAAACATTTTTTTGATGTTGATGGCTTAATATTAAAGGTGAATTAAGTTCCCAATTTATTGCAATGGCATAATATGGCATAATTTTTCATAAATGCTATTTTGATTTATAATATTTCGAGATTTTTTGAAAATTTTCAGATCGTAAAAGAGAAGAGATTTTTTTAGATTCACGTATATTTTTTATTTTAGCTGTTTGAGCGGTCACTTAGAATTCCCCTATAGTTTTAGTATTTATTGAATGAAATTTTTTAAAATTTCAAAAGAAACTTCAAATTTTTGAAGATTAAAATTTTGGAAATAAAAAATTTTCGTGGTTCTAAATTTAAACGTTTTAAAATTTTCGATAATGGTGATTGGGAACAGTTTATTTAATGACACAAAAAGTATCCAAAATGCTTAGGAAATAGTTTAAAGTTTGCTTTATGAAAATTAGTAAACATAAAAATATGAGGAAGAAAATCGATCGAAATCCAAAATCATCCAAAAAGGAAAACAATCTTTTGATGTTGACGGCTTAAAATGAAAGCTGAATTAAGTTCCTTATTTATTGCAATGACATACTTTTTCAAAAATAGTATTGTGATTTATAATATTTCAAAATTTTTTGAAAATTTTCATATCGTAAAAGAGGAGAGATTTTTTTTAGATGCATGTATATTTTTTTATTTCAGCTGTTTGAGTGGTCACTTAGAATTCCCCTACATTTTTAGTATTTGTTGATTGAAATTTTAAAAAATTTCAAAAGAAACTTCAAATTTTTGACGAATACAATTTGGAAATTCAAAATTTTTGAGGTTCTAAATTTTAACATTTTAAAATTTTCGGTGATGGTAATTCAGAACAGTTTAAAACGGTAAAAAGTAGCCAAAATTCTTACGAAATAATCAAAATTTTGGCTTATGAAAATTATTAAAAGTAAAAATATGAGTGGGAAAATCGATCAAACTCCAAAAACATCCAAAAATGAAAACAATGTTTTGATGTTGATGGCTTAAAATGAAAGGTGAATTAAGTTCCCTATTTATTGGAATGACATACTTTTTCAAAAATAGTGTTCTGATTTGTAATATTTCCAGTTTTTTGAAAATTTCATATCGTAAAAGCGGAGACATTTTTTTTTAGGTGCATGTATATATTTTTTTTCGGCTGTTTGAGTGGTCACTTAGAGTTCCCCTACATTTTTAGTATTTGTTGATTCAAATTTTCAAAAATGTCAAAAGAAACTTCAAATTTTTGACGAATACAATTTGGAAATTAAAAATTTTTGAGGATCTAAATTTTAACATTTTAAAATTTTCGGTGATGGTGATTCAGAACAGTTTATTTATTGACGTAAAAAGTAGCCAAAATGCTTACGAAATAATTTAAAGTTTGCCTTATGAAAATTATTAAAAGTAAAAATATAAGTGGGAAAACGGATAGAAATCCAAAAACATCCGAAAAAGAAAACAAACTTTTGATCTGAATGGCTTAAAGTGAAAAGTGAATTAAGTCCCCAATTTATTGCAGTGTTATATTTTTTTAAAAATATTATTTGAATTTATATTTTGAGAATTTTTTGAAATATTTCAGATCGTAAAAGAACGGATTTTTTTTTTAGATACAAGTATATATTTTTTTATTTTAGATGTTTGAGTGGTCACCTAAAATTGTCGCAGATTTTTAGTACTTGTTAATTGAAATTTTCAAAAAATGCAACAGAAACTTCAAATTTTTGACGAATACATTTTGGAAATTAAAAATTTTTGAAGTTCTAAATTTTAACATTCTAAAATTTTCGGTGATAATGATTCAGAACAGTTTATTCATTGACGTAAAAAGTAGCCAAAATGCTTACGAAATAGTTTAAAGTTTGCGTTATGTAAATTATATATTAAACGTAAAAATATGAGTGGGAAAACCGATTGAAATCCAAAAACATCTGTAAAAGAAAACAATGTTTTAATTTGGATGGTTTAAAGTGAAAGATGAATTAAGTAGCGAATTTATTTCAGTGATATATTTTTCCAAAAATATTATTTGAATTTATATTTTGAGATTTTTTTGAAATATTTCAGATCGTAAAAGAGAACGGAATTTTTTTGGATACACGTATATATTTTTTTATTTTAGATGTTTGAGTGGTCACGTAAAATTATCGCAGAATTTTAGTACTTGTTAATTGAAATTTTCAAAAAAAGCAACAGAAACTTCAAATTTTTGACCAATATATTTTGGAAATTAAAAATTTTTGAGGTTCTAAATTTTAACATTTTAAAATTTTCGGTGATGGTTATTCAAAACAGTTTAAAAAGGTAAAAAGTCGCCAAAATGCTTACACGAAATAATTTAAATTTTGGCTTATGAAAATTTATTAAAAGTAAAAATATGAGCGGGAAAACCGATCAAACTCCATAAACATCCAAAAATGAAAACAATGTTTTGATGTTGACGGCTTAAAATGAAAGCTGAATTAAGTTCCCTATTT